ACTTGCACAGGACACACACACACAGTCATATATACTTGCACAGGACACACACACACACACAGTCATATATACTTGCACAGGACACACAGTCACACAGACCTGCACCGGACACACACACACACACAGTCATATATACTTGCACAGGACACACACACACAGTCATATATACTTGCACAGGACACACACACACACACAGTCATATATACTTGCACAGGACACACACACACACAGTCACACAGACCTGCACCGGACACACACACACACACACACACACACACACTCACACGTATACACAGGGTCATATATACCTGCAGTAAATTTGAATGAAAGTGGGGATAGTGGGTTAATACACACTCGCGTACATCCAGAGAAGCTTTAAGTGACGCCCCGGTGGCACATTACAGATAATGGCAGTAATGAGGAGCCACATGCTGGAGCGCAGGAGCAGGTGGAGGTAAATAAGTGTCGACATGACGTGTTTACAAGATCACTGATTACAAGAGCTGCTGCTGCTGCTGCTGCTGCTGCTGCTGCTAATGTACATGACAGATCCTATCAAACGCTCATAGCATCAGGTGATTTGGGAGGAAGGCACTGATACTACATCTTCTACAGTGGATTATTAGTGGATCATTTCTACTTTAAACAAGATATAAAGATAATCTACAACTACATGTAGACAGAACATGCAATAAGAGGTTGAGACGTGCACACACAATCAGTGTTCAGCCTAGAGTGTTATCTGATATACAATGTAAACAATTACAATTAATATTGTCATAATCAGTGGTGTTTTTCCAATATTTATCTTTTCAAAATAAAACATAATTTCAAATGTCAATTAGAAATTCTGACAAAATAAATACAGATTTTTCCAACAGATTGGCATTTATAAAATAAAGAAAAATAATAGTGGGAAACAAATTAACATTCTTTCAAATAACAGTTTTTAATTGGCAGTTGGCAGCAGTGGTTTGATGAATACACGTTCTTACAACAAAACTGATTGTTTCGTGGAGACAAAAACTGTAAAAGCCTAACACTACTTCATAATAAACATAAATACTCTCAAAAATATATGTATCAGACAAGATACGAGAACTTTTATTATTCCCACAGTGAGGAAAGGTCATATTTAAAAAAATATTGAAACAAATGCCCTTTGACCCAAGGCTGGTATAGTGTACTGGAATATATATTTTTGTAAAAAAAAAAAAAAAAAATATTTATACATATTATTATTATTATTACAAATGAACTGTACATAAACATTCCTCGAGGCAAAGAACAACTATTTTCAAACTTCAGACATTTCACCCACATTACCTAGAATGAGTATAGTGTGTGTGTGTGTGTGAATGGTTGGTGGTGGTGGGAGGGGCCAATAGCACTTCCTTGTTGCCTCATGTGTGTCAGTGTGCCCTAGGACAGCTGTGGCTACAATAGTTTATCACCACCGTGTATGGAGTGAATGAATAATGTCATATGATGTGTCTGTGAGTGTGTTAAAAAGCGCTTTATAAAACCGTTGCATTATTATTTCAGTATTCTCGCAATTACTCACACTTCACATTCACTAAATAATACAAATGAATCACTTTTTTTTGCACTAGTCGTGAGCCCTGCTGCTGCCGACATACCGTGTCCTCATTAACATGCATGACTGCGGCACAAGTTGCAGATGATATTGTATACACACAGATTTTCACTCTTTTTTCCACTCAAACTTTGCGCCTCCTCACCCTGGGGACATCACAGCAGCATCTCATTCACATGAAAAGGCCCGAGCTCACAGGGGGAACTGTTTGCTGCATCTCCCCCTCTCTCCCCCATGATGATGATGATACTACCGCCGCCCCGCCCTCCCCCAAAACGGAGCAATAAAATAAAGTAGAATTTTTGATTACAGTAACAAGCCTATAAATTATGTAGCGAGAGCGGCTGGCGAGGCGCTGATGAAAGACTCGCGCTTTTTAACCTTTTTCCCGGCAGAGGACACCCGGCTGGAGATTGGGTGATGCGTAAGTCGGTGGATGGTCTATTTTTAAGCGGAGGAGTGGGAATCCGTGTTGAAACACCATGGCCCCCGTGCAGTGCAACGTTCAGTCTGAGGGGCGCGTGTTATCTGAGAAGGAAGATTCCCATTGATTTTGCTGCTGACGCCACTGTTGGCACGAGAGAGGTTTGGATGTTGTTCCGTTCCCGATGTGTGCACGCAAATGCTGCAGGATGCATTGTGCGTAGCAAAACTCCAAATATTTTAAAACAAAAGCCAGTTGAGTTTTGTCATTTTCACCATGGTCAGATACTGTATACAGAGAATGTTGGAATTGAGTAGGAGAATTCGAGGTCTAATATTTTTCGATGTTTTTTATAATTGCATTTGTTTAGACTGTTTGATTCTTTGTTCTGTGTTGGTAAAATCAACGGTTTTGATAAGTCTTCCGAGATAACTAATGTTGTGATTTAGTAGGGCTGTACAATAATACATTGGATTGAATTGAATTGAATGCACAGGTGAAACTCAGATAGTTAGAATATTGCGAAAAAACTTGCATGTGAAAGAAGCTGACAAGGTGAAACTAATATATTTTATGAACTGCACATGATGAGTCTTTTTTGTTTGAGATTTGATTATTATAACTTTGGTTGTTTTGGCTTACAGCTTGTATTAAGGGACTATAGTGTCACCCTGCTAATTTATCCCTGCTAATTTATCTGCTAATTTATCTCAGTCACCCTTGCAGAGGGTGACTGAGACTTTTAACGTCTTTCAGTCTGGTTCAGTAGAGTTCACCATCATGAGAAAGTTTTGCTGATCTGACTGTCGTGCAAAAAACTATCATTAACATTAAAAGGAGAAAAAGCATCAAAAAGCGACTCGATGTTCTCAAAGCACTGTGTCAAAGTTGAGAGGAAGGAAAAGGTGCATAAACTGCAGGGATGACCACAGTCTGGAGAGGATTATGAGGAGTAGAGCGATCAAAACACTGGGGGACCTTCACTATCACTGTAACTTTGTATTGCACCTTATACCAGTAATTTGCACATTCTCCATTTGCTGCTAAATGTCAATAATATTGTGTTTTGTACATTGTGACTGTAACTTTGTATTACGTTGGTAAATTACATATGACTCTGAGGATAATATTTTCAAGATTACATACATTGCTGCTGTACAGAAATGTGGTCAGGATTTGGCGCTTAGACCCAGGCAGAGCACTGCACGATTGCAGAAGGGGAAAGAGATCATGAGATGAAATTCCACGGGGCCTAGACTCTGGCGGTTATAGCTCGGAGAAGGATGAAAGAGCTGGGCCGGAACGAGGCAGAGAGGGTTGCAGTGTGAATGAAGCTGCTGCTTGGATGGTGCTTCCTAGCGATTTGAAGCTTGATGCGGGTGCTTGATTTCTGCCAGGTGAGGATTGGCGTGTGGCACTGCTGCTCAGTGTGATTGACAGATGATGTTGCCGTGAGCAACAGAGGGAGGCCTTTGCGTACTGTCTAGGTCTTCCTTTTTTCCAGTCTGAACCTCCGCTTTAGCTTAATTTTTATTGAACTTTTAATAAATACGTTTAATGATTGTATTGTCAAGGACTACAGATGAAAAGTGCGCGGTGCAAAATCTGAGGCAGCCATATTTTTTATGAAACCGCATATTTACCTTAATAAACTAAACTCAAACTTATACTGTGCATCAAAAAAACCCACATCATGGACAGGGGTTACTAATATAGACAGATAGACCTTTACTGTCCCCTGAGGAAAATGCATTTACACAATATTTATACAATACACAAAAATACACATGCCATACAGGGACATGGATAACAGCTCTTCAAACCTCCACAGTCTGGAGGAAAAGCACACAATCCATGATGCTTGAGGTCCAGCGTGAAGTTTCCACAGATGATTCGAGGAGCCGTGTCTCCTGCTTCTTTCAATGCAGAAACCAACTACTTATGATTTAACTTCACGAGGGCCACATTATGTTTTATTGATTTCATGTTAAATTGTAATCTGGCAAGACTTTGAATTTGGGTTTCTTCAAGCTGTAAGCCACAATATTAAATATTCAAAGGCTTTGTCACTGTGCATGCCTTGAATCCATAACATATATTAGTTTCACATTATAAGTTGTACAACACTTTTTTAAGGTATTCTGAGTTTCACCTGTATAAGACATTTCTACTAATACTTTACTAATACTAGTTCCAATCAGTATAGAATAAAGACCCTGATGAAGACCTATTTGGTAAAAACGGATCCAAATAATAAAAGATTCTTTTCATAAAGTCATTTGTGCCTCAAACTATATTTTTTCCCTTTAAAAACATCTCTGTTGAGCTATGCATACAACTGAAGGATTCTATATACATGCTCCGTGATGATTTAAGTATGTAATCTTTATTTATATAGCGTCTTTCACAGACCAGAGTCACAAAGCACAATTATCTCTCACTCCAAACAGAGATCGGAGCGGGGACACCATACAGGAGGCCTTTCGTACATGTTTTTATTGGTATGAGGAAACCAGAGCACCTGAAGGACACCTACAAAGACACGGGGAGAACATGCAAACTCCACACAGAAAGGCCTGGAGGTGGGATCGAACCCAGGACCGTCTCATTACCACACCGTGCCCACCCAATGCCTTGTATGATTGTATGGTCTTGTTTTGTTGAGCACTTTGAGTGACATTGTGTATGAACAGTGCTAAACAAACTTGCCTTGTCAAATGTATGTATACTGTATATATATATATATATATATAAATAGTTACAGGTGTCATCGATTATGTCTTCCGTAAGTATAATTCAAAATCCCCTCAGCTCCTCATTAGAATCAGACATAGACGTTCACCAAACTCCCCAGAAAAACTTATAAGGACACACATGTGCATCTCCACATGCGCCCTGGCATCCTTCCCAAAACCCCCACCCCCTCACCCCACCTCCCTCATCCCACCTCTTGCGCACAAAGAACCATTGTGCATCGTTATGATAATCAGCTCAATATGCCCTTCTGAGGAATGTGTGAAAACGCAACCCAAATGCCCCCTTTCCCACACTTTCCGAGAGCACCCCCCCAATGGAACATGGCCAGCATACAAATGGGGGGGGGGGGGGGCAGGGGTACACCGAGCCAGGGGCAGGGTGGCCGAGGTACCGAGGAGGAAAGGGGGCAACCTGGACGTCACCCAAGATCAGGGGGAGCGGGAGGGGAAGAGGTGCCCCGCGGTCCAGAGGTTAACTGCGGGTAGTGATTACAGGCGATGGGGCAGCGGCTGGGCAGAGCTGGAGGTGGTGCGGAGCCAAAATGGAGAGTGTTTCAAAGCAAAAGAGAAGAAGGGAGGCTGAAAGGATGAGTTTGCAAGCCAAGGCTAATGCGTAATTGAATTATATAAATGGTTACATGCATAAAACTATATATTACTTGCATTAGAATATACAGCATTTTACACTTGAAGAGTTCATTGGCAAAAACAGATATCTCCATTTTGTCAGTGAGTTGTATTCCTCGACAATCATGTTTTGTTATCGAAATAAATTAAATTTGAAATAATTTGCTCAAAAAGTGGTGAAACTTTTTGTATGGCACTAAAAAAAGATCTGGTTATTCACAACCGCTACTTTGTAAAAAGAAACTTGTCAAGTCTTTGAAATATCTTTTCCAATGGCACTTTTTTTTGCAAATAAATTGTTCACTTGTTCCTTATTGTTAAGTCAGGAGTTTTTTGTACTTGTGTCTGGCTTCTTCATAATGCTAAAGTTGGAGATTTTAAACTTCTTTCCTTATTATGTTAAAGATAAAGATTTTATACTCTTTTTTTATGCCAGAGTTAGAGATTTTATTTTATTTTAGTTTAGAGTGATTGTTCATTTATCTTGTGCTGTGTCCTCCTCATTCCTATTGTATATCTAACTTGATGCAACACTGAAATTTCCCCACTGTGGGACGAATAAAGAATCTCTTTATCTTAATCTATCCCCGCAATTGTAGTGAAAGGAATTTGCGGAAGAATTGTTTCGGACCTTTGCAAACACAACTGTAAAAAAAGAGACAAAAAACCCTAAAATCTATTGGTTTACATTTGTATATGCATATGTAAAATTGTATTTGTGTGGGTGACGGCAGCTATGGGATGCATGAATAAGATAATGTGTGCCTAACATGTTTGTATGTTAGGCACAAAACTCAATACAATTAACGGTGTATATAATTCAAGTTGCTTGGGGACATTTGGTGAGACTTTCTTAAATTACTATTTGCCTGTGGAAGAAGCAGCTTCAACGTTAAAGCATTTTATCATAATCTTATGGTTTTTTCATAATAAAAAAAAAAACAATATCACTGTCACAAAGTCTTTTGTTTGAACGTATTGTAAATTTAATCTCAAAGTTTGCCCAAGCACCATTTAACACAGACGTCCTCTTCAAAAGTTTAGAAATGCATTTATTTAACATAGATAATGTCCATTGTTTTTGTTTATTTTTTCCCTTATACATGATCTTGAGACTTTGCCATTTCTTCTTTTAGAACATAATATTTGAACCTTAAACCATTCCTAAAACTAATTGGGAGGAAGCACTTTTATTTCAACAGAGAGAGAACTCCCTGTCCCGGAACTCTTCCCCAGCGGACTCCGCCCCAGGGTGTTCAGGGCATGTATCACCAGGAGGAGGCCCCAGGGAAGAACAAGGACATGTTGGAGGGACTGAGTGTGTGTGGATAGAGATGTCTAGACGTCTCCGCTAAATCCATTGCCACGACTCAGCAACGGATTAAGCAGAAGAAAATGGATGGTCCATGACGTAGTCTGAGGATTTGTCATGGCGTAAGTTTGAAAAAGGAGCATTTGGAGAGAAGGGATGTGCGATCATCTGTTTTTGATGACCTTTTTTCCAAGAACAGTCTATGAACTTGTGGGATCTATAGAAAACTTAGTAAATAATCCTCCAATTTGGAACTCTCTCCTCAAATCACAGCAGATTGTTTATCTCTATGCAACTGTTTAATATTTGCTTACAGTGGTGGGTGGAAATCAATTTGCACTTCTTATGCCAAGTTTCAGATCTGAGATTATTTCCAGTTTAATTAGGAACTGAAATGAAGAATGCACACCTCCGACTGACTCCAGAAGCTGTGATCGTGAGCTAAAAGAAACTCTGCTGTCGTCTATTCTCCTGTGCAAGAAATTAGACATAGACCAGGCGTGACCAGGGGCCAACAACCCGGATTGCAAAAATATTTGGTGACACTTTATAACAATGTTTGATTTCTAAATATTTGACTAAGTCATTCCTTAAAGGTAAAGGTGCACCTTAGGGCAATTCATCCTCTGCATTTGACCCATCATGATGCCGCTAAAGACACCAGAGCTGGAGGATTTACCTAATGTACACGTTATTAGTGGTAGGGAAAACCGGAGCACCTGGAGGAAACCTATGCAGGCACGAGGAGAACATGCAAACTCCACTCAGAAAGAACGTTCCAACTGGGATTCAAACCTAGGACCTTCCTGCTGAGAAGCGATCATCCTGACCACTCAGCACCGTACTTAGCATTAACTTAATGTCTAATATACATTTACACATAATCAGCTAAACATTAACAACTCATTTCCAAGTGATATCTTTAACTGTTTAGATAATCATTACGTACTAATGAACAAATACTCTAGTACTCATTAAGACATGTTATATTTAAGTGTTTATAATCATTCACAAATTATATCCTAATTGTTTTTAGTCCATTAGCAAATGTTGATTATTCACATGTGTTTTGCGTAGAAAATCAAACAAGCACAAACACATCTTTCTGACATATCATTCTCACATAATTTTTTTCCACATAATTTTGACCAATCAGGTGATATTAAATTATTTTCAAAGACACACCAAACAACATCTCAAGGCACAATAACATCCCACAGTACGCCGGTTAAAAAATAGTGGTAAGTAAGTGAGATAGATTTTGTAGCCACACTTATTTGAAATGAATTTATACTTATCTAACCCTTCATTATTCCTTGTCATCTACCACTTGCTTCCAATGCTTTCGTGGAGTTTGGATGGAAGTCTGCATGTGCTTTTGCTGGCATCAAATGTATCTCTTTGTGGCTCAATATTGATGAGAAGTACTTCTTCATTGGGCTTATTGTTCACTTAAAAACAATTCACAATCCAATTCACAAACTCCACACCTCTGCAGGTAACCCAACTACTTGTGGCATTCACGCGCAAACCCTTCGCTCGGAAAAAAAAAAGGTCAAATTCTCCATTTCGCCCGACTCCCAAAACCGTCCATATTGTCTCGTTCGGATTGCATTTCCATGTTTGTGATGTTTCCCACGGCTTACATCAGGATCCTACTGAAAAAAACATGTTCCTCCGACAACAGTTTACATCATTAGCATCGGCTGTGCCTTTTGCGTGGCTAAACGAACGTTCGAGGTGAGTTTACCCCTCTGTTACATCACTGGACCCAAAACTTTGCATGAACATTTCTGTAAATAAAAAAACTCGTTAAAGTTGCATTAGTCTGGCGTTGGCTTTTATTCCATTTTTTCCCCCGCTCCAAACATTGAGGGACCAGCTTAAAATAAAATAAATAAATAAATAAAAAAGGACATAAATTAACACACAAGTCCCGATTTCTCTTCCATGGTGCGTTTGGTGTCCAGGCTTTCGCTATGGGATATCGCGGCGCCGCTAAGATGGGGAAAGTCCAATCATCCGGCCGGGGAAACAGCAGGGATCACAGCGGTGTGTCTGGCATCAAGGCCCGGGCGGCGGAATGATGAAAAACTCTGTGCATGAATGAAATGTTTAGCCAGAATTCGGTCATTATCGACGGCGCGTATGCGGAGAAGTTCACAAAGTCGACCTGCCTACATCTCTTATTAAAACCACGCCACCTCCTCGCCATCTGATGTCACTGCTTGAAGTTTGGCTGCACTGTTGCCGAGATGGGGTTACTATGGGAGGACGCGGGTGGTTATTATTATGGCGGTGGATAATGTGGTAAATGTAGGAATTCAACATATCAACAGTTTCAACGATCTACAAATGTGAATGTTGCATGGAAATGGGGAATTATCAGAAATGGATTTCCTTATGATGGTTCTGTTTTTTCCCCCATTTTCATTCTTAAATCACATTGGAATTGTAAAAGTGAAGTTTATTTGGATTTTCTATTTATTTAGTTTAGAATTGTTTTGTAAATCACACTAATATTTTTGTTTTCTCTAAAAAGAAAGAAGTATGTTATTAGACTTTTATATATTGGTTTTTATTTTGTCATTTTTTTAGCGAGAGAATTTGTGAGAACTGGGGATTGAAAGGGGCCCTCAGGTAGACAGGCAGACGCTCTATCGACTCACTTTCAATCCAATCCAATCCACTTTATTTATATAGCAAATTTCATAAACACAGTTTCCAAAGTGCTGCACAATAAATTACAAAATAAAACAAATCCGTAGTAAAACCGTAAAATAATAAAATAATAAAATATGTAAAAACCGTGTGTGCATATAGGTATAAATATAAAAAAAACAATAAAAAGATGGAATAAAATTAAATAAAATGAAAATAAAAGTAAATAAATTCACAGTAAGAAAGCAGCTGAGTCAGGTATTTATTTTGTATATATACTGACGATTGTATTGTGTATTTACATGTTGTTTTATTGTAAAATATGTTATGTACAGCCAAAACTTGCACACAGCGCTTTGAAGTTACGCTAAAGGCCTCCGACATGACAGGTGGCCGCGAGGTAGCTAATTTTTATGTTTTCATTTTTTAAACAAAGATAAGAAGATGTGTTTCATTGTATATTTTATTTTGTCCTGCAATTTTCACAACGTTAAAAGGACATTTATGACATACTCAAGAAACCGTGTGCAGCGTTGTCATTGAGGAGCTACAGGCCCCTAACCCTAAACTTCTGCAAAAGTCCCAGTGTCATCCTGGTGTTTATTTCCTATACATAAAAAGCTGATCAATCTGTTTATTTAAATGTGTTTCCTTTATCTCTGTGCAGATATTTAGTTAATCGTTAAATAGATATTACTGACACACTTATTTACGTGCTTACTCACTAATGTAAAAAGTCCGTGTTACGACCCGGCTCCACTTGGGTGTAAAGGAAGTAACAATAAACCCATGATGGTGAAATGGTAACCAAAATGATGATTTATTTTAATGACAAAGCAGGTAAAATGGATTCAAATACAGGATTCAATATATACAGCACACAATGTAAAAAAATAACCTGTAAAACTTGTTTAGAAATTGAGAGAGTTAAAGGAGTGAGCTAAACCAGGGTCTCAACAAAAACTACAACACGACAAAATAATTGGCAAAAATTCAAACCCTCCATTCCATGATTTATGAAGATATATATTTGCGTTTGTGAAGGTAATAATTGAGGTTGAAGCACACATCTCCATGGATATACTGATAGAGAAACATTCGGTAGATCAGGGTTCCCCAATCTTTTTGAGCCGTGGCACCTCTTTTTCAGTAAAAACAATCACATGACACACAACGGTTGAAATTCTGCCCGCCAGGATTAACAATAGAAGGTCCCTCTCAAAGTATTTTATATAAAGAATCAAACAAGCGCAAACAAGTATTTCTAATCTTCATTATTATTTTTGTTTCACAGTATTTTGAACTAGGTGATATTAGATCATTTTTCAAAGGCACAGCAAGCAAGATCTCAAGGCACATTAACGTCCGAAAAAAAAGTCTCAATATTGTTGTTAATAATTACTGTCATTGCATATAGTTCTCAACCAATGTGATTTTTTTGGGATTCGTTTCGCTTCCGTTGTCGGTCATTGGCGCCAAACCTGGGAGGCCAATTCCAAAACATGAAAAACAATGTCACCCAAGTTTATTCTATATCCAAAAACAAAAAAACGTGGCTCTGTGTGTTTTTCCACATTCCCAGGCCCTGTAGAACCTCTTTCGTCACCGCGTTCCTCACCGTATAATTTTTTGGCGATCGTCTGGACCAGGACCGGCCACTTCATCTCTCCTTGAACCACAGTTGGACTCCTAACTCCGGGCAAATCCATCTTTCCTGTCACATGTTTTATATTTAGCTTTAGATACGAGCCGACTCAGCTCTTTGACCCAACTCCAACTTCTCACCAGCTGCGGCGGGTTGCTAGGCAGGCTGGGAGGGGAAGATGCCAAAACATTGTGCATTGTGTTGGCGGTTTTTGTTTGTTTTGGCCTTTTCATCACTTTTACTTTTAAAGAACGCGTTACGCAATATTTTTTTTATGACCTTGTTCCGTCAAAAACACAACCAAGCTATTATCGGTATATATTTGTTGAAAAGTGCCATAACTCAGAACGGAGATTAAGTAAGTAAGAATGTGTTAATTTCATTTTTTTTTTTAAACACCGAAAGATTGATAGGATATCTGTGACGTACTGATTATTTCTGCCTTTTTAAACTTATTTATCTCCTTCAAAATATTTGTGAGCACTACTGAATGCTTACTTATATTTGTATTTTTTTCTAAGATGTAGGAACACTTTTAGCGCATAACTTTTTTGAACCCCTAGTTTGTTATTATTTTTATAGGGCTGATCGTGTAATTATAGGCCTGTTTGATGGTAGATGGTAGAATACTTACTCGTAAGTATTTTGAAATTCTTACTTGGATATTAGCCGTACAATCTCAGTGTAACAACTGGTATGAAAAAATATCCCCTAGAGACATTTAGTCTCCAAGGGATGTGTCTTTATTCATTTGAGGACGTCTGGATTCAGTTGAATTTACAGTATGGTAAGGTATGGTATGGTTTACGGCAAATAGCAAATATACTAAATCTTTTTCCTTTTGTTTACAATTGAGAGCCAGCACTAAAGAGCCATAAAGTACCATAACGGTCTCCTTTACAGCCACATCCCTTGTCAAAGTAAATAGATGATACTTACAGATTAGTCTAAAAACACATTTGTTGACATTGTCTATTTAGAACTGTCCACTGTGCTGAAGCGGGGCAGGGCCTGGTTAGTTGAAGGGGCCGATGGCACATACTGGGTGCCTTGCCTCTAGTAGTATGTCCCAGGGCAGCTATGGCTACTAGTAGTTACATAAACAAATAATGTCAATTCAGTTTTACCTTTTTACAGTCCTAAATCACAACAACAGTCATCTCGGGAGGACTTTACAAAGTTGCAGATTCGCCATCAACAGATCAGAGACTCAGTGGTTGGAGACAGCTGCCTTTTGACCACTGGCCAGTCCTCCAAGCACCCCCCTCCCTCCCTGGTACTCCCGCAGGTGAGAGGTGGCATCGTCCCCGCGGCTTCCACAGCGAGCTCCTGCTGCGTCCTTACTCTCCGTCTCACCGTCCACATCTCTGCCCCATCCCTGAGCTTCAGACTGGGCTTCTCTCACCTCTCCCCTACGACTCGTGTGTCATGAGAGACCCTGCTCTTCACATTAAGATTAAGAGAGATCCTTTATTTGTCCCACAGTGGGGAAATCTCAGTGTTGCATCACAAGTTAGAAAACAGTAGGAAGGGGGAGCACACAGCACAAGATAAGTGAACAATAGATAGATACGGTATATAGATACTTTATTGATGCCCCTAGGAGAAATTCAGGAACGCTATACTAATCAAAATTAAAAAAAGCATCTCTAACTCTACCATCAAAGGACACGTATAACAAATCTCGATCTTGAACATAATAATAATAAAGAGTATAAAGTCTAGGATCATCCATGTTTGCAAACTCTGTCTCATGTGGACATCCACCTTTTAAATTACACCCTCTATTTCTCAACTCGGAGTAACATATTGCAGATAGCAGTTATACAAAATGTTATTGCAGCTCTCAAAGAAGCTGAAACTTAAACCATGCTTGGGCCATTGATTGTGGCTCGCTGCAGAAGTAGAAAGACTAGCAAATGTTTCAATCGAAAACCACTCATTTATGATGTAATAAGGGCTATTTTGAACTCATTTCATTTCATTTTCATTTCATTTTCAACCCCTTTGTCCATTTGTGGGTAGGGGTAGAGGGGGGGGGGGGGGGGGGGGGGTGGGTGGCAATGAAGGCTGCTACCCAACGCTCATAGCACCAGTCCCTCGCTTCCGCAGGTGGTGAGTCCACAGGAAGATGGCTGCTCCGTTAGTTGTGAAACAGCCTTGATCTTTCAGCGGGGGCTTCAGGCAGCGTGGGGTTAAGTGTCTTGCCCAAGGACACAACGACAGCAGTCATCAGTGGGACATCACTATCAGTCATATTTTGAACTTATGTGTATTGTTATTTTAGTGAGTGTTATATCCACCTAAAAGATCGTGATACTTTCAAACTGTATAAATGATCTAAACAGTGTATAAAAATGTATTTAAAAGAGACACATTTTTGTAAACATGATTTCATTGACAGTGCTAAACGCTAGTGCTTGTTTACAGAAAACAATACGTACAGCTATTTTTCCCCAGCTCAAGTCGGCATATGCCAAAAGATATCTCATTATTTTGTTTTAAATTTGATCTCGAAGAATGTAAGATAAACAACGTATATTTATAACCTCTTTAGGACGTACATACTTTTTTAGGATACTGTGATTGGCTAAATCCACCTGTCATTTACACAAAGCATGTCAGAGGAAGGCAGGGTGGAAAATGGAATAAGAGACAGTTATGAGAAATGAAATATTATGAGACCTGGCCTTATTTCTCTGGCTCCCTGTCAAGTTTAGGGTTAATTTTAGGATTCTGAGTATTGTTTTTAAATATCTAAATGGTTTAGCCCACATATATCTGACCGTTAGAAGACCAGCTTTTGTTGAACATGCCAAGGTCTCCTCCCCAAACTTGAGGAGGAGGCCTTTGCTGCTGCTGTTCCCAAACTGTGGAAAAGTTTAGGTGAGTTTTACTTTTTACATGTATTTTTATGTGTATTATGATGTTTATTTTGTTTTATCTTTAGTGCATGTGAAGCACTTGGGAATCTGGTGTTGTTGTATATGTACTACACAAATAAATCTGACATAGAGACAAAAGAAGTGAAAATGGCATCTTGGTAAAATCTAAAATATTGCTAGTTATCTCCAAGCCCCACCAAGCAGTGTATCATGCCAAAGTTAGTGCAGAGCTGAGCCAAAAGCCACGCAGCTACTCAGTAAAAGTTTCCGAACCACCACTCGAAGTCTCCCCATGACCTTGGTCTTCTCCCTCCTCCATCCATCCATCCCTCTCCCCCTGCGCTCTTTCAGACAGCACATCCAGATGGGTGGCCGGTCAGGCTCACCTCGGGGTGCGTTTGACACCCAGCTGGAGTCCTCGGCCCGGGCCTCAGGGTGTCGCCGACTCCTGCTACGGGTTCACAAGAAATGAGAAGAATTTATCTGCGGATAGCACCGGTTCCTCCTCCGAAATGGCCCTGTCTGAGAATGGGCCATCTATCTTGCTTTGGCGCGCCGTAATAGGAGCTGGGGCCTGCGGCGTTGCCTCATGGGGAGATACGCACGATGGGTCGGTAAAGTCAGGATGCTGGTCTTATGCACAGATGAGACATTACAGCGATAATTCATATGATGCTATTTGTATGTAGACTTATAGGATTTATATAAAGCTGTACTGTATATTGTATTTGTAAGTTGTGTTCTCAATTAGTTTTTTTATGGCCTTAACATCTGCCCACAAGACTACCATTGAAAATTTAAATTAGCTTAATGTAGCTAACTCGAGCGCATTTACTGTACATCGTATAAGGCTGGTTAATGTGCACTGTCACGTTTCAAATAACTACATAAATAAAGTGTCAGCCATTAAGGAACCAGTTAAAGGCACTTCTTTACACGTACAGTTGTGCTAGAAATTTGGCACGCCCAGGCAGAAGTTTTGGTCACACTTTAGTTTAGTCCTCAATAATTAACAGGTAATCAAGTGCTAATTTGTGTATAATTCATGGTTAATTGGTATCTATTAAGCGCTTATTCACTCCTTATTCTACATGGACCAATGATACCTTACTGACACTTTCCCATTAGGGTACAGTTTCCTGGGTTCGAATCCCCGGTCAGAACAGGGCCTTTCTGAGTGGAGTTTGCATGTTCTCCCTGTGTCTGCATAGGTTTCCTCCGACCACTGAAAAGAAGCATAATAGGTATGAATGTAATGAGTGAGTGAATGGATGGTGTTGGTTGGGGGTTTTGATGCACCAGTGTGTTCGGCGTCTCGCTTCTGTCATCATCGTGTGGAGAGAATTGAACTCTCAACATTGTAAAGTGCTTTGGGTGACCTTGGTTTGTAGAATGAGCTATATAAATAGATTACTTACTTACTTACTTACATATTCAGACTACTTTATTTATCCCACCAGGGGCAACTCATTTCCGCAGCACAGGGTATGAAAACACATAAAAGAACAGGAAATGTCAGACAGTAACATAAGCGATAAAATACAATCATAAGCTATTTTTTTGTTTTGTTTTTTGGACACATTTTGGAATTTTAGAGTGATAACGCAATTGTTTTCTTTTTCACTAACTGGCTGAGGGCACTGGTCCGAGCAGGAGCCACACTAGCTCAGACTGAAACCCTCTTCAGATAAAGCTCTTTGTAAAATACTTGAATGAACGAGATTACAGGCTGACGCACGAAGAGCAGACAAGACAAAAGTGGAGGAAACAATTTGTTGAAAGAGGGTTACAGCTAAGTAGGAGAGATTCATGGAGGTAATTATCACATTTAGGGAGTGGGTGAGTGCAATTAGCATTATACTTTGAGTAAAATGAGGACTGTTTTTCCACCAGAAAGTGGATCATAAGCTTATAACTTTTAGATAATAGAAAAATAAGACGAATAAATAAGAAACAGCCATGTTGGGCCTCATTCACACTGAGCCAAAACACTTGGATTTTGCCCAAAAATCTTGCTGCGCCCTTTTCTGACACACATACATTGACAGTATGCAGATAAAAAATGCTAACCTGCTAGCTAATGAAGCCCAGTAGAGAAGTGCACACGGAAAAAGTTTTGCTTTACCTCACTCTGGCTCATATTGACTTGCATTGATAAGTTAACTCCTCCAGCTCAGTAACCCTTTGTACCACACTCATAACTTCTGGCTTTAAAATCCAGTGGTTTTGTGCTCTCTATGATTCTAGTGCTTATATTGTGACATTGTATATGTAAATCCAGATATTAGCCTATTCAACCAATCAGATTCCTTCACTCACGGGTAAAGTCCAGCTTGCCCTAGCAACTATCTTCCACGTCATCAGAACAGAAAGCCATAGGGAACTTGGCTCCAGCTGGCTTATGTTTAAATCAGCTTCTTCCACATTAGACAAACACTATGGGTGACTATGGGTCAAAACTTGGTTAATTCACTTCTAAACTATGGCGTAAGGCGTATCCAAAATACTCTGCATATTTAATCTACCTTTCAACCTAATATTTTTGTTGAGGTACAAAATTGTGCCAGAAGTTCCATATTTTTATCTGTGGATGCTGTATGCGCTCTCTGAACACCCTTATCAAGTCAAAACACTACACACAGAAAGAAATCCATATCTAAACATTTTTCTTTTTGTATTGTTAGTACAGTACATACAACCATTAACATTTTTCCAAGTTTTTAGTAAAGAACATTCTTGCAGCAAACCACCTAGCACAAAAACGCATTCATCGTTACATACAAAACAGGGAAACATTCAAAAGGCAGCCGTCTCATCGATTCTTGTTCTCGCCACGTCTTGGGAATTCTATACAAACCAAACAACAAATTCTTTGAGTCCGACTTGCAGCACGGCGAGCGAGGCCCTGGGACGACCCCACGACAATGGCACAAGTGTGAGCGCGCCCACCCCTGCGCGCATAAAACAAAAAGCCCCACCAACACAATAGTGCGCGCTTGTCTCCACCGTGCCTTTCCGCGTGGATTTATTGGCTTCTCTGCGGCGCCGCGGTTCCATCCCTCTTCTAAAGGGAAAGAGGGAAAAGCAATGCTATTGTCTGGTGTCTTTTGGAGCTTGCAGGCAGCAGCAGTCGCCTTGGCTTTTCCGCGACTGGGGCCCCGAGGAGCACCTTGCATGTCTGCTGGAGCTCGCCCTGGTGTGCGATGGCGGGGATGGTCGGAGGAGCCCGGATGTCTGGCTGGCTCGCCACGTCTGGAGCGCGCAGCCGGTCCCAAGGGCGCAGAACAGTCTGGTGCGGACAGGGTTGTGAAGCTGATGATAATGGATAAATACATGTGAAGTGCAATCAATTGGGGAGGGATGAAGAAGAGGATCAGACTTTATTTTTGGAAAAGATCTGATATTTGAGCTGTAGACGACTGAACATCTGAATGATATGCAGTGTTATTGCTTTGCGGTTTGTTGAGACGCTCTAACATCCTTGGTAGACTGAAATGATCAAATTTACTTTCATCACAATCACACATTTTTCCATGTGTGATGACATAGGTGGAAAACCTATATGATCTCTAATAAGCATTTGCATAATTGTAGTGGAAATGTCAAGTGCATTATAAATAAAATGTAGTTTTATTATATTTTTGAGTCAATGTTGCAATGTTACAACGACTTTCCATTTCCACATGTAATTTTGAGGCAACAACCGTGTTCTCGAGGGGGTATGGCTAAATACCCCAAAACTAAATAAACTAACTCAAAGCAGCAACATCAGGATAAAGGTCAAAATAAAATAAGATCATCATTGGAAGTGTTTAGCATGTATTTGAGATTTCTTATTCTGTTTTTTTATGGTTCAAAAGTAGAATTGCATCATAGTTAGAACCAATTTTAACAACAGGCACTGCATCCTTGAGCCACGGGCCAAAATGTCCCTTGTTCCAACTCAAATCAGTGTTTTTCCCTCACTAGACAACTATGGCAACTGGACAGTGCAAGACCAAACAGCTGGGACGGGCCAGACGTCTAACTGCCGTCCATCCATTGTTTACCTAAAATACATAAATGAATGGAGAAGACTTAGTTTAATGGCCATGGCTATATATTTTTTGCACAGTATTTTATTTTGCTTCTTTATTACGCTAAAGAGATTTTTTTTTATTACACTATAGAGTTACTGTTCATGTACTTTGCGCCGTGTACTCATTCCTATGACCCATACACACAGCACGTGTCATGTGAAGGGGACTCCAAAATAGGAGCCTTGCGTATTTTTTCTCGTGTAGTGACCATAGACTGTACTATTAACGAACAGAGTCACGCCTATCTCCGCCGTTCTAACAAATGGGCCAAAAAAAATTGCTCTACTGGAGAAATCCAAGTTGGCCGCGAGTGGTCCCGCCCACAAGAAAATTGTGAAAAAACGCATCTACGCATGCGTCAGCTGGCGCAGCTCCATTCATTTGAACGAGAGACTTCAAAAATTCACTGCAAGTAAACTAGAGTGGACCAAAACAATTCACCCCCCTCAGCATTGACACACATGTGGAACGGAGCTTTGGGCCTAGAGCCAAGTTTTGGTCCATCCTGTAAAGGTCTGCCAATGCTATATGTTAGCATTGGCTAATTCTTCTTCTGGGTCCACCCCCATCGGCCCGGGGTGGTATTGCAAGCATGTCAGCGCACGTCATTTTGGCCACTTTTGAGCAGGGACCCGCCCCCACTGGCAGTGACGTGGCTTCCGGTCAAAACACATGGAAAACACTAGATCATTCACACACACACACACACACACACACACACACACACACACACACACACTTGTTTTTACATCAGTAGGAGGACTGGCAGGTTTGACAGTAATTCTGGACATCGTTTTTTTTTCATAAAGTCTTGCATCTGACCAGACCAGCTCACAGAGACCATGAGGACAAACACATAAATGTGATTTTGTTACTCTACATCAGTTCTCTGGCCCATACTGTCCCCTTCACTTCTCCATCGACTACACAGGGCCAGCATCAGCAGCTGCGTCTTTGTGTTAAATTCCCAAAAATCTTTGAAAATTCCAGTAATTTTGTAGTCCTGCACACACCCTTCTATGTAGCGGCCACTAACCTTGGTGTAATCCATATAGAGTCAATATAGAGTCAATGTAAAGTCAATATAGGTCACTCCAACATATCATCTTCAATCACCACACGCTTGAAGTGACTGTCAACTCGTATTCATTTTTAATAAGTCGTGCGCCACCACGGCCGACACGCGCCGCGCCGTGTATGCGCTTCAGAAGGATTCCTCAAGCTGTTTCTCTGAAGAGCCACAGAAGCCAAGGGGACTGTGATCTGTCATTCACAAACACGAGAGGAGGAGAGCGCTGCGATGGAGCCAGGCCCAGTGAAGATCCAGCTGACAGCGACTCTTTGTTTGAGAGAGAGAGAGAGTATGGCTTCGTCTTCTGATCGAAGCTTTGTCGCTACTGACGCCGCACTGGAAATCTCAAGGCAGAAAGAAGTCCTTATAGAACAAATATCAGGCAGTGCTTAAAGGAGATGTTTTAAATGCAACGTTAACTTTTTTGAGGGTTTACATGTGATATTTTGATTCAATTTATTCTTGTATATAGCCCTAAATAAAAACAATAGTTATCTCTGAGGACTTAACAAAACGTTGACATCACCAACACGGACCAGAGAATATAGACCAATGTCCATAAATATTAAATGTTAACTGTCCTTTTTGTTAGACCCTCACAAGGTTTAATGGTGGCCCCTCATCAAAAACAAAGCCATCTATGGAAATATTTTCTGACACAAACATGTAAACATTAAATATAAAAGCCAGTCAAATTGATAACACTAAATGTTTTTTTTATTGTGAATCCAAATTTTCTCCTGTATACCTTTCATTGTTGTGCTCAAATTTATAATACTTTTATAATATTTTACGTCTACATCTACAACTGACAACTTTTGTCTGTTTAATATTTTGAATAACTCTTTTTTTTATAAGAGTTCTTTAATTTAGCGTATTAAAAAAAAAGTTTGGATTGTAATGGGAGCCATCGTTTTTATCCAGGGTGCCCGAACTTCGCTACACACCGAATGATGTGAAACTTGACATTCAAGATTGTCTTACTTACAAGTAAAAAGTGCATTTAAAAACTGTTAAAATACAGTTCAAATACAAAGTTCAAAGCAGCATGAACAGAGGATGGAGTGGTTTTGGTGTGAGTGCGTAGGCTTCTCTAAACAGATGACTTTTGAGGGTGGTTCTCCAAAAACAAAGGGTAAGGAGTGCTGCGTTGTAATAGCGTATACATTATTTAAAAGACCAGGTGCTAAATTGGAAGAGGGGTTTAACTTAGTAACAAAAAACGGTCAATTGATCACGAGTGCCTTAGATTTTTTTATTTTCTAAGATCTTCATAATTTGCCTTTTACCTGGAAAGTCAAAACTCCATTTTTGGTTTCTGAGTTTTGAGGGTGGATTTGAAGTGTCTGTGAGTATGTCATGTACGGTCGTCTTCCAAACTTAAACTTGACAACAGTTTTGTAGAATCCCCCTGTCATGTCAGAGCAGGACCAGGAGCAGTGTGGAGGATGGGGGCAGACAGCACGGAGCCCGCTGCACACTACGTCTCTGATGATAGAGGCAGGGGACAGCGTAGAGACGTCGCCGCGGTCCCCTCTGCTCCTCTGCCTGTAAATCATGTCGCCGCGGACGGCTCCAGCGCTCCCCAGCCTTCCATCTCCTCACGACGGCACCCCCAGCTGGGCCGTCCTGAGCCGGGATAGAGCCAAAGGTGGAGCCAAGATGTATGGGTTAAAACTGAGGAAATAAGGTCTGATTTATGTGAAATCTAACTAAATTTCACCATGTGGAAATAAATCACTCTTATCTCGTTGATGGTTCTTCTTCACAGATGCATGAAAACATCAACCAAACAGATGAGTGTCATTTGTGTCTTTTTGCTTCCATATGCTTTTTCTTTACATATTGTGTAGTATTTACTCTACCCCTTTGTTAGTGCACATTCATACAAACACATTGGATCGACAAACTACCAATTTAATTAGTATATCGGTTAGAATGTATTGATCAGAAATGTATCTATCAGTTGGTTGTGGGCAAATCAATCTTTTTTGTTAATGCCAAACAAAACAGATTGAATAGGATGCGCACACATGCCATCGGCACAGATTAGTTGCCTCTCTGCCTCTCGTCGTCCTGCTCCCTATGGACCGGTGGCTCCTGTGAGTTTGTAGTTATTGCTTTTCCTGAGTTCGATTTGTTTGATACTTTGATCTGTGGCTGAGGAATCAATTACTATATTGTTTTAGGGCTAAACATACATTTAATTCCTTGTATTTCTTTATCTGGATGGGACAGTGTGTATTAATGAACAGCAGGAGCTGTAAAGACACAATATTATACTAGCTTCTATCCATCTGTTGTCCAACAGTCGCACTCACACAAAAAACTCATTCAACCCTCACCTACTATATATGTTTTTGGTGATGTGGGAAACCGGAGAACCCAGAGAAAAACTACGCAGACACTGGGAGAACATGCAAACTCTAAACAGAAAGGCCCCATCTGGCGATAGATTGATTATGATTGACATAGTATTTCGAGACTTAAACACGCAGATAATTTGTTTTATGACTCAGATAACTCCATAATGACAGCAGTAATAAATTAAAATGTGTTCATAAAGTATTTAAATCAAACAACACATCATCTCTATGACGACATCTCCGGGGGCATCATTTGAGCTGATGTTTTAGTCAAATATATGATGTAAAAAAAAAGGCATATTCAGAATTTGGGATCTGAACGACTGTTAAAGTGATAGTCTGTAACTCTAAATGAATTACAAATTTTAGGAAATGTGTTAAATTGACCTCCTGGCCTTAAATGTTAGTCATTTTATTAATTCTAATATTACGGGCAAGTCCCGCCTTCCCTTCTCTTAGCTATAGCTCAGAATCCACGGTGCCGTCGAGGTTAACCAATCGAGTCATGCCAAGGGCTGTCAATCATCGGCGCTGATGCTCGTAGCTGCGCGCATGCTCAGTTGTTTGTTTTTACGGAGCTTCCGGTACTTATGTATATACTGAACCTATATCCATAATCATATCCTCTGCAGATGTGTCCTATAATGTGCAATTCATGATAATAGCTTGTTCTGGGTTGGCCGCGATCGTTTTTTTGTGCATAAAAACATTTTTTTCATTAAAACGTTAACAAATAATTCTGAAAAACTCTGTGCATGTGTATTAATAATGTATATGTATAACGTGTTCTCTGATTAACATTTAAAAGTGTTAAGGAAACGTAGGTGTAGACCAATCAGAAAGGAAGAGGGAGGGAGCTTGCGTCGTTGTTTTTCAAATCAAGCACCTCTCTATCTTTCTTTCCGACAAACTGCAGACAATCACTTTAAATCAAAGAATAATTCAAAGAATAATCTGTCAATTCCCCACTGTAGTACTAATAAAAGCATTCATTCATTATAATCAGCCAACTGATCAATTACAATTTACATGGATTACGTAGTATGTATAAGACATCACAATTCTCCTGCAACTATTAGAACGTTCATCTCGTTACCCCTGCACTTCACCCACATGGCACATCCTCATTAGCACTTTAGCTCTTTACCCAGCCCTCCATCCATCCACCCATCCATCTCTCGCGGACCCATCCCCACTTCCCTGGCCCGCTCCCAGCACACAGATGCCCCCACGTGTCATTTGGATGCCCCCGCCTGCCCTCTCCTCGCCCGGCAGCGTCTGGCAACACGGCCCCAGCCCGGTCGCGGAGGTCTCGTTAGCATGCTAGTGGACACTTCGACTCCGCCATCCAAGCAAGGTCACAGGAGACGGAAGGTGGTCTGGCTGGCATTGTGTGTGCGTGTGTGTCTGTTTGTGTGTTTGTACGGGCATTTTTGCATGGCGGCGGTGGGTAGAGGCATCAAGTCTTGCGCGATTAGCATTCACCGGCTCCCCGCGCATCGCTAAATTTTTCAGTAACCTCCAGCTGCTTGATGTTGGAGCGAATCACCAGAGAGGCTCACCGCGTGCCTGAGACGCCTTAGCATCACAACGCTATACTCCTCTCTCCCCCATCCCCATAACCCACCCCCCCCTCACCACCCCAGCCCCCCCTTCCCCCGTCTAGGGCCCCTCCGGAGTGCCGTCTCATCCAGGCCTCTTCACTTATTCATGTGTTTATTTATTATTTCACCGCTTGTGTCTGAGGAAAGATGGGAGAGGCATCTAGTTTGGGTGAAGTCATTAATTCATTAAAGCCTCCCCTCTCGCTGCTTCGATTCATTTTTACAGTTTTTTTCTCCTCTTCTTTTTCAGACCAGATAAAGCGATTTCTTGGATTTTCCTAGGATGCAACGTCCCATTGCCCAACTGGGATTATTGATATGGGATTGATATAAGAAATGTCCGATGCAATATGTGTGTGCACTGCAAAGCAACGTTGAAAAAACCTTGGAAATGAATTGCGCATTAATTTCACTTGAATTCCACGACTACATATTTGACTTGATAATGCCAACTGAACTCCGTGTGTAGATAGATTACTTTTGAAACCCAAATGATTGCAATAAAGTTTGACTGTGATTTCAACATATAATTTGCAAGTTCTGAAGACTTAGTTCCACTTACTTGAACAGAGACAGCTCCATTCAAAGAAGGCCCTGGTATAGAGTGGTATAGCCAAACTGTAAATATACTAACTATAAAAACAAGTAATATTTACTTACTGGGAGGAGTTAGGTTGGACGTAGGCAAGAGGGGGTTCAAATCTATGGTCTTATTTGTGTTCTTGGGAAAGAATATCACAATGTCAGTCAATCCAGGGCAGCTGTGGCTACAACAGTTCTGCCTGGGATCCAGAATGATTATGCAGTTTCTATTTTATAGTTTCAAAGCAAACAGATGCTAAATTCTAACGTGGATATAGCATTGATGAACTTGTGGCTACATGCGCCAAAGTACTACAGTATGTTTTGTTTTAATGTATGTTTTGTTTTAATGACATATTATGCACAATTTACTTTTTTTAAATGTTAAACACGTCACAATATTGTCCCCTTATAAAAACATAAATAAAAAAATAAAATAATTTTTATTATTAAGAATAGAACTTTATATGAAGAAAACCTTAACTTAATCAGAACCAACACAAAAAATGACCTCCCCAAATGAGACCCAACTTACATATTGCCCAGCCCAACTGCCCACAGCTGTACAGGCCCACAAAAGCCCGTCCCTTTCTGGTCCTCTTAAAATCAATCGGGCAAAGGTTTATGATGTCATCTTGTTGGGTGTAGCCTTCACAGTAGTAGGCGGCGCGGTGGCTGAGTGGCTAGCACTCTCGCCTCTCAGCAAGAAGGTCCTGAGTTCGAATCCCGGTCGGACCAGGGCCTTTCTGAGTGGAGTTTGCATGTTCTCCCCGTGTCTGCGTAGGTTTCCTCCGGGTACTCCGGTTTCCCCTATCACTCAAAATATGTACAATAGGTCTGGCATGCGCCTCCTGTTCGGCGACCCCGCTCCCATCTCTGTGTGGAGTGAGAGGACAATTGCCCAAAAAAAAAAATAATACAAATTGTAAACCGCTTTGTGACCATTGTCTGTGAAAGGCGGTATATAAATAAAGATTACTTACTTACTACTTACTAGAGAGTGAGGGCGAGGCTGATAGAACTTTCACCATATGTTTTCTACTTATATTGTTTCACAATCAAAAACATGGTATGAACCCTATGCTAGTCAAAGTCACCTCCATCATGGACAACACCCCCCACCCACTGCACAGGACTGTAGGAGCTGAGTGATTCTATCTGTGCCAAATCTAACATTTCTCCATTGTGAGAGTTTATCTTATCTTCAGTAAATACTAATATAATTATATTCAATGTCCTCAAATAACGCGTGATATTTCTTCCTCCCTTTAAAACGAAGTCCCAACAATCTAATTCAGAAGGCCAAATAGATTCAGAATAAGAGATCCTTTATTCGTTGCAAAGTGGGGAAATGTCAGTGTTGCATCACCAGTTACAGAACGGCAGCAATGAGGAGCACACAACAATAACCTTAGCATAAAAAAGAAGTAAAACATCTCTAGCTTTAGCATAATACTGAAGCAAGTTTATTACTGACACAACAATTACACACATCAATAATACACAATTCCCTTCTCAACGATAATACACACATCCCCAAAACAATAAAAAGCAAGTCTTGGACAAGGCCAGGTATCATCCATGAGCCATAATCTTTCTCACTCCTACTGACAACAGTGGGATGGCTCTGCTCTGTCTGATTTCCAAGCCCTGCTCCCTGGCGCTGAAGTAGAGGTGCGTGAAATAAGATTTAACTGTCAGAGAGTATACTAGAGCAAGACAAACGCCAAAAACCGTGGCTTCGGCATTGTGTGTGCGTGCGTATCAATTGTACGGAGTTGTCGTTTGCTCTCCGGCTACTGGAAGTGCAGCTTTTAGTGACAGTGACACGCAATCTTCTGACTCTTTTTTTGTTTTTTTTGCTTCTTTTGTCAGTCGCGGGTGAACGGAGGCGCTGATGGGGAGGGAAAATATGTTGGGAAATGTGTGCGACCTTGTGTTTGACTGAGGAGACGTTTGAAAAAGTACGGGAAGGTAGAGAGTAGCAAAGATCGCCGCAAACTCACGCCGCCGTAAAGAAAGTTTTCAAAATGGTTCAGTTTTATTCACATGAGGGAATGGGTAGGAAAGATGCTGAACTCTGCAGGTTTATGGGTGTAGGTTTTGAAATGTATTGTTCAAAGTAACTTTCTGGAGGTGGGGAAAAAAAATTGCTCTTATGACATGGATATAAAAAGTATAAAAGTTTACCTTAGTATTATTTAGAAACTACTTTTGCTTTTCACCCTTTTTTTGGACACTCAAAGACGCTTTTCGAAAGGACAGGTTAAAGAAATCAAAATAAAAAGCTAAAATGAACAGTTAAGTGTAAAGGAAAACTCTAGACAGGTCCTTTTTGGGTTGAGTTTGCTTGTTCTCACTGTGTCTGCGCAGGTTTCCTCCAGGTGCTCCAGTTTCTCCTACCTCTAAAAACATGCACAATAGGTCTGATTGTAATAATACATAAGATAAGAGAACCTTTATTTGTCCCACAGTGGGTAAATTTTGATTTTGCAGAGTACATTGACAGTAGTAAGATCACACGCACACAAAATAATCAAGATAAGTATAAGTCATCATTATTTATATAGCACATTTCACAGAGAGAGTCACAAAGCGCCATACAATATAAGGGTAATAAGGAGATATAGTGACATTCAGTGGACATTCTGAAATTACAGTGTTGCACATTGTTCTTAGTATTTACAGATGAATGCCATGTAAAGGCTCAGCAGTTCTCATTGTACAGTCTGACAGCAGCAGGACGGGAAGAGTGGAACCTCTCCTTCACAAAGTGGACTCGACACAACAGGCTTGAGCAGAGAAACGTGGAAAACTGGATGTACTCTGAGGGAGTTAGGCAACTTTAACTTGACCGAAACTGGGTTCACAATACTCTCAATTTCATAGGGTCCAACAAACCTGGGTGCCAGTTTTCTGCTCTCTACCTGAAGGGGAAGATCGTGTGATGAAAGCCACACTTTGTCCTGGCTGGTAATCCGGTGCAGCAGAACGACGGCGGTTGGCACTCTGTTGATTGCGAGCGGACGATTGGATAAGGGCCGACCTAACAGTCCTCCAAACAGCACGACACCGGCGGAGATGAGCCTGAACTGAGGGGACAGACACTTCCTGTTCCTGTGACGGAAACAGAGGAGGCTGGAAACCCAGCGACACCATGAAAGGGGAGAGACCAGTGGCAGAACTTGACATCGAATTGTGGGCATATTCAACCCACGGAAGAAAAGTGGACCAAGCAGTTGGATTCCGTGCTGCCACACAGCGAAGAGCCGCCTCCAGGCTCAGATTTGCCCTCTCTGCCTGACCATTTGACTGCGGGTGGAAACCAGAAGAGAGGCTGGCCGATGCACCAATGGCTGTACAAAAAGCTTTCCAAACCTGCGACGAAAATTGGGGCCCACGGTCCGACACAATGTCTATTGGAATTCCATGTAAACGAAAAACATGAAGGACTAACAGGTCAGCTGTCTCCAAGGCAGAAGGAAGCTTGGGTAGGGGAACAAAGTGGACTGCTTTGGAGAACCGGTCCACAATAGTGAGGATGACAGAGTTACCTTGTGATGGGGGCAATCCAGTGACAAAGTCAACAGCGATATGCGACCAGGGGCGCGAAGGCACAGGAAGGGGATGCAGTAAACCAGCAGGGGGCAAGTGTGAAGGCTTACTACGAGCACAGACATCACAGGCAGACACAAACTCACGAACATCAGGAGCCATAGTGGGCCACCAGAACTTTTGTTTTATGAAGTTCAAAGTGCGATGGATACCTGGGTGGCAACTTAGCCTAGATGAATGACCCCATTGAAGAACTTGGGAGCGGACTGCCATAGGAACAAAAAGACTGTTTTGAGGGCCATCGCCAGGGTCCGGCTCTGTACGTTGTGCCTCAAGGACGACATTTTCAATTTCCCAATGGGCCGCAGCTACAACACAGGAAGGTGGCAAGATGGTGCCTGGAACAGAGTCAACATTATCAAGGGAGTACAAGCGAGACAATGCATCAGGCTTTGCATTTTTGGACCCTGGACGGTAAGTCAAGGAGAAATTAAACCGGCTCAGGAAAAGGGCCCATCTAGCTTGACGGGAATTCAGTCGGCGTGCCGTCTGGAGGTAAGAGAGGTTCTTGTGGTCAGTCCAAATTATAAACGTGTGGTGTGTTCCCTCCAACCAGTGTCTCCATTCCTGAAGCGCTGAGACGACTGCCAACAATTCTCGATTACCAATGTCATAGTTGCCCTCTGCCTTAGTAAGACGCCTCGAGAAAAATGCACAAGGGTGAAGTTTGTTGGTTTCTGGGGATCGCTGTGACAGAATAGCCCCCACCCCTAGGTCTGATGCATCTACCTCCACTGTAAACTGCCTTGTAGGGTCAGGATGGGTAAGAACAGGCGCAGTGGTGAACTTTTTTTTAGCCAATCAAAAGCAATTTGAGCTTCAGAGGTCCAGACAAAGGGGGACGATGTAGAGGTGAGGCGTGTAAGGGGAGCTGCAACTCTGCTGTAGT